TTGGACATCAAGTAAAATCTTTCTTCTTTTAGCTCACACCTTTCAAACATGGTCAATCTGACATGTGAGTAATACGCTAGAGACTTTCCAAATCAACTTTCTAGCTGCATGCAGTTAATAATATAGAAATTATTATTTAAATTGTGCATATGAAGCCCAATTATCAACGCCATATTGCTATTTACTAAAAACGGATCTTAAAAACATTCCATTTGATATTGGCGCTTTGTAGCCACGTTTCAAATAATAATGTTTATGTTATCGATTGTGAAAAATGATTTGAAAATAGTCTCTACTGTACTACTATGTTAGATTTATCGTTTATGAAAAATGTATGAAGAGCTGGGCTATAAGATTTATCTATGCTCACGTAAACGTAATATTGAGTAATAGTGAGAAAACGAATGAAAAGTGGAAGTAAAAAAGAAATAAAAATTCACTTAAGATCGGTGAAGTAGAAGTAGCATTAAAAGGCCTTAGATATAGAGTTGGATGAGGCGCAGTAAAAAATGGCGCGAGATCGTTGTCCGCAGGATAAGGGTTCCACGAGGGCAGTGTATATACGTATTGCGTGATCGTGCGCCAGAGACGCGAGAGAGGGAGAGCATATAAGCTGGCTCGTTTCGGTCTCTAGAATCGGGAATGGGGTCAGCCAGCGTACGATCTGTCATGCTGTGCACAATTCAGACATAGTCTGCTTATTACGAAGCTGCTTGGTCGTCGCTGTCCGCCTCGAGATCGTACGCCGATGGTTTCGCATTTATGTGCCAATCCTCTGTACCCCTTTCGCTCGCTCGAGTTCAACACACAGCGCCGCTTTGACGTAAGCTCCCATTAGTTCGTTTTAACAAAACCGCAATAACGAATCCAGCTGCGTCGAGTTTTAATGTAACGACGCGATGCATTATCATTCTATTTGGTGAAAAGGCTAAATCGGATGTACGCGCGTTTATCGAAGTGATTCCACAGTTGCAGCTTGTATATCGAATTCGAAAAGATATTACGAGAATTGTGTCAAGTCCGATATATAGCTAGCACGTACGCGAATTAAACCGAACGACACAATACGTCTGCATCTGTACGGTAAATATTCGGTATTGCGTTAGGCGGCGAATAAAACGAACAGCTCAATCTACATCAATACAGGGAGATGGCACGCGCTAATCCTTCGCAGAGTCAAGAGCTTTCGTGCGTCGACATATATTTAACGACCTAACTGATAAGCGTCGTGCATTCGTACAGTGTCGCCAGCAGATGTCCGGCTACTGCTGCCGGAGATTTACAACGATATTCAATAGGCAAGCCCCGAGCTTATGAGAACTGCTCTAGTATAAAGAAGATAACGACGCTCCCCGAGAACGAAACGATGACTATGAAAAAGCTCGCTAGTAAACGAAGATTCGCTTTATCGTTGTAATCTGGTTTCGAATCCCCTCGCGTGAAACGGTAAAAGCTTGACCCCGCGAGCTTTGCCAGTGCATGCGCAAGGTTGACCTTTGTTTCTGTGTTTTATCCCCTCCCAAGAGGCATTAAGTAGTGACGCTGCGGGGGCTTCTCTCTGTCTCTCTCTCCCTCTCTCTTTGTGCTTATCTGCGCAATATATATCTGCACTCTTAAAGCGATACATTGTTTCGCAATTATACCCCTCGTTAACTTTCGTCCGGCTTTTCTCCGAATTAGCTCAGATCAGTTGAGAAAAAGCACGCATCCACCCGGAAGTCACTCCAAGTCCACTACAACTTTGATTTAGTGCTTTTGAATTTTTGAAACATTAAAAACAATCCTCTTGGATAAAGTGCAGTCCTCCGATTAACAAAAAATGTTATTGTTAGAAATACAACTTTTTAAGGGCAAAAGAATCTTCTTGTAACAACAAGCTTTTTTCTTATTACACTTCAAAATGACTGTTATCTTGTTAAAAAATACGAGTAGATTAAGAATTAGAAGAATACGAGAAAATTACGAGAATACTTTTTTCAATGTTATGTTTCAAATTACTAATTGTACAAATATAATAAGATTCATCAATTTCATTTCATATCATCATATAATTTCTGAATTGCTCGTTCGAAATTTTTAATTTAAAAAAAGGTTTAAAGTTCACGTAAAATATATGATAATAAAATATATTTCTACAATATCATCAAAGCGTAAAAAATCCAGTGAAATATCGTAATACTTTTGATTACGAAATCCAACCATGTAAAGATTCTGTTGAGTTAAGAAACGAGATTTGATTGTAGCTCTAAATTCAACAGCCTTAGGCTACTGCTGGAACAGCAGCCTCGAACAAAGCTATGTCATTGTGAATCCGCTTGACGATTGTTGTCTTAGTACACAGCAGACGAGACGTGTTATTTGTTAAAACGATTATACTTCTACGAGGTTTTTACCTTGAATGCGCCTGAACTTTAAATAAATATGACTTCGGGTATTTTATGAAATTGTTATGTTTCATTCGTTAGAATAATAATCAAATGCCGAAGCTCTTTCGTCAGAAGTCGCTAGCAACTTTTTAAATATATGTATAGTCTTCTGGTATTTGAAGATATCAAATGAAGCCTATATCATCTTAAATTTTCAAACAAAATACAATAACCTGCTGCTTTTTTTATTTTTCTACGTAAATCCTTTATAAAATGTCGATCATTTCCCAGCCGATCAGTTTCTTTGTAAAAACTGAACAACAGTCAATAAATCATTTATTTGAACGTAATCCATTCATACTTTATATTATAGGCCAGAACGCTACATTTTTATTACTCTATTATTAATATTCTTATAAAGGCTCATCGTTTTTCGTAACCTACACAGTTAAATCAATAAAATCTTCAATATTAGATTTATCAACGTATCATTTTAAAGAAAGAATGCAATAGGATATGAATATATAAATAAATTTTCTTTGGAAAACATTAGTTTTAAAACATTAAAATTTATTTGATAGGTTGCCAATTTTAGATTATTTGAAGATATTTAATAATAATAAAATAATAATCAATAAAAAAAAATCTAACCTAGATATTAATGTTCTTAACTAAATTGCATGGGTGTGTAAATGATGTATAACAACTAGATAAAGATTTGAAATTGGTTGCAATATTATTTAATTAACACAATGAACCAGTAACGAATGAAATAAAACTAGTGTCTATCCGACATAAAAAATCCTAGTCGTGCGCGGGGGAAAAACCATTTAAGCGCCTTAACTTAGTATGATGCAAACTTACAATAATTGAACAGATTTTAGTAAAAAAGGAACGAACACATGTAGGATAATTAAAAAACTACAAGTAAGAGAACACACCTTAATATAATTCTCAACAACGCACCAGATTACGAATGTCCATCTTATCATAAAAGTTTTACCAGCTAGACGCACACGCACTATAAAGAGTTGAGGGAAGATGCCTTCAGTAGAAAAAGCACGGCGTAGCTCCGACGTCTCGGATACAGCCCTCGCTACGTTCACGCCATCGCCTGAGTTTACCGGTGGGCAGGAGTTGCCGCGGTGTTAGAGGCACCTCAGAGAACGCAGTTCGTCCTCGGCTAAGGCAGCAGGTCGTTCTGTTCTTAGCCGCCGTTGAAACGAGCGTTGCTGGTGTACAAGAGGTTCCACGCACGGCGATACATAATCAACCGTACGCAGATGTGGATATACTACAGTTATACTGAGTTGCGTTAATGTATCACACAGGTAAGCTGCGATCCAAAAGGAAAGGAGAACTTTCTTTTGATATCCAGGATGCGTTGGTCATTTTTGTCTCAGAGGAAAATGGAAAAAATTCCCTACTTCTTGTGTCCCCTAACAACGCCTCAATCAGCAATCAGGAATGTATCGCGTCATCAAGCCCACGCGAACTCGAATTACCCTATATACGGTCACTCAGCTACCCGAGGTTATAGCGAGTACCCTTCATTGATTGCTCCTCACGATACGATCTTGGATCACATGGGCGATCTGGGAATTGCCAAACGTGACGAAATGCAAAAAAATATAATCGGATGCAAAGCTCTCCTATTTCCTCCCACTTTTCACGGACGGACATTCCTGCTCATGCGAAACATATGAAACGCAGATATGGCGAACATAGATTATAATCTAATTTAATAATTTATTAACAATTAACAATGGCAGTATAATTAATGTTGAATAAATTGATACATTAACTTAAATGAATGAAACATTAATGCAATTTTTTTTTCTAAAATTCAGAAGCCATTCCTTCAAGTTGTATATCATAATTGCTAATCACATTTCAATGAAAAACCACTCATATTTTCATGTAAGAAGAAAATTCTGTTATTTCGTTTTGAAAGAACAACTAGTAATGAGAAATAAGAAGTTACTGAATAAATAAAAAAAAGACACGTTTAATAGACACCAGTGTATCCAAAGCCACTATCATTTAATGAAGAACAGCGAATACTGCGAGATAAACTTATATTGAAATATTTTCGGCAATGAAAAAGTTCCAAAATAAATATCGATCACCGTAGCCCGTACAATATGCTAAATTTGTTTTTTCCGCTACGACGATTTGAAAAATGTCAACCAACGAAAGCTTTTACCGACTTACTGCTACGCATAAATCTCAGTCGCACCGAACGTGCACTACACTTGTAATAAAAGAAAAGTGTAAACTTAATTGAATCGCGCGAATGCAGCCATGTGGTATTCGATACAACGAGCGTGGAATGGGGAGGTGCATCGGAAAAATGGACGGCGTGGCGAATGTAACAAAAGGCTGGCGCGTAAGCGCAATGCCACGATACGGGAGGCGACTATTTCGGTGTATATGTCGACATGGCTGTTAAGTGCCTCAGTGGCCGCTGCGCGACTAAAAATAGTGGTTAACGCTCGCAGCTGCGAGTGCAGGCGAAAGAGAGCATGCTCTAACTGAACTAACGGACAGACGCTCGCGACGAGAAATTGCGATGGAGGGCAGCATATCGTTGCTTGTTTGGCATTACGTGCATGCGCGGCGTCGATAACTCACCGAGTGCGAAGAGCAGCAGTAGAAGCGGCGCGAGGACTTGTTGCGGTTGGCTGGCGCGTGGCAGGCCCGAGAGCGGCAGCGGCGGCATCCTGCTCGATCCTTCCTCAAGTGCATTTATGAAGAACCAGCGGCTCGCCGAGCTTGCGCTCCCGCCGCAGCCTCCTCATCAGCCAGGCTCGCTCGGTCGGCTGCTGCGCTAGTCCACGGTCCGTTCGCGCACTCGGCTCCCCGGTAAAACCCAGTCGAGCCGACGAGCCGCCGGCGACGCCGAAGTTGCTTCCCTCCGTCGAGTCGGCGACAATTATTTACGAAGATAATTGCGACAGGCCCTATTGTTCGGCTCTTCAACGACGACGCCGCCCGGTGCTCACTCCGTTCCCGGCGGCGCTTTCAATAATAACGCGAAAATTCAGCGGCTGCTTCAATCACTCGCGACGACGCGACGCGGCGACCAGCTCCGGCTGAATTCAAACGAATGTCTCGCGAGAGAGCGGCGAGAAACGGCGCCTGCGCGCGTAATGAAGAGCAGCTAGCACAGCGGCTGGACAAGATGAGGAGCGTGCGAGCCTGTGGCTTCCAGTTATTGCATTAGAGCTGCGGTTGTCGGGAAGAGAGGGGAGCATTAAACGCCGGCGTCGCTGACACTTGTCTTTTGTGTGCACGTGCACCGGCGCACGCTGGCCGCTGGCCGCTGGCCGCTGTTGCTTTTGTGCGCGCGCCCACCGCTGCCAGAGCTGAAAGCACACAAAGAAGAAAACAATGAAACCAGAGTGTCGCAGACAGATATCGGTGAACTTGGAGAGGCGCGCGTGTATTTTCAAAATTGGGGCCACGAGCGCGTGAATCGGCGTTTCCTTTTGAGTTGAGCTCTACGGGCGAGGCGCGCGGAGAGGGACAAATGCACCGGCTAATAAGGTCAAGGCGCGTTTTCTTCTGTCCCGCGCGAGCGCCGGGCCAGCTCGCACAGCTTGGTCCGTGCTCCAAATTCAACCTGTTAATTGTGGGCTTTTATTTTAAGACGACGCGCGCGCCTATGCCCGCGCCAGCGGCTGCGACATCAGGTCTTCAGCAGCCAGTGTACATTCTCTGTTCCACTGAATTCCAGGCAGGAATCGTCGCATTATGAGCCACCGTTGTGTCGCTTCGTCAGATCATAGAAAGATAGAATAGAAAGGTCGACGATCGTGGGAATGATGTTCTGCCCGCTGTGTGCATTCGTTTGCGCATTACGCAGCAAGCAAGTGCAATAACACCGCTATTCAAGGCGCGTGCGCAGAAGTTTCTTTCGTTTCAACTATTTTCATACCACTCTCTGACTACAGCATTCGCGTTGAATCAGTTCAAGAGCTTCTACCGTGTACTTCTGGCGCCGATGAGTGCGATAGTAAACATGAGCTTCGCTTGGAGGAAGCTCATTCCTTGAGAACCTCTTAGCAATACAAGCGACTTGTAAATCTTTTTCTCAATCGAGAGTCAATATTTCATTTCGCAACCAAGTTTTCGAGGGCTCTCCCGGTATCAAAGTCACGAAAGGAAGCTGTATATAGCCGATTTCACGTGGAACAATTCAACTCGTCGTACCCCACCATTACCTTTTAATGACTGACGCAAGCTCGTCTGACATTTTAATTATCTTTCGATTTTCGGGAGAAAGAAGAATTAAAATTAATAGCCTATCCGTGAAGCGATCTCACGAGTGACGTTCATAAAGGAGAGACGCCAATATACATCAGTTCAACGATTGACGGGAAGTAAAACATGAAATTTACGCTTCGAGTAGATGTGAGCCAAGCGTACACTCAATTGTGTTGAATACACAACTGTTAACAAACACTGTGCGTTCATCTAATTCAGCGTCCAATACCAAGTTGAGGCTTTTGAAATAAATCGGGCGTAACGAGCTGATGAAATAGACGAGCGGCTTACATAGGCCTAACGACTATTGAACATTTGACGACAACCGAAATCCAATAGTCCGTACGTCGGGAAAGCATGTTGCGTTGGGCGCATCATTCTGCTCTTTTTCCATTACATAAGCGGCGGCCGAGATCGCCGATACGAGCCGAGAACGAAAGAGCTTGCAACCGTATTTTTCCGAGAGCGAGCGGACGTCGCGCGAGCCGTGCAGTCGAGAAGCATAAATCTCGAAGGGCGTGCGCGACAGTGTGGAGCACTGCTGAGATATTTCACCGAGCAAGATAGGCCAGTCCAGCGAGGGTGTCACGCGCGCCGCCTGCCAAGAGGAGAAACGAGTATCAAAGGACGAGCCACGGACAAAAGAAGAGCGCGAGACTCGGCTCCGCGAGCAGAAGACGGCACGTGCCTGCGAGGCGCTTTTGCGATAGAGTGCAGCCGTCGTGAACCGACGCCTAGAAGTGCTCGCTTTGTGTTTTCTTTCGCTGCCGTGCTAATTAATGACTGCTTCATTTGCTCGTCAACATTTTATTGTCGTAGAATCGTCTTGCACCAAATCACTAAATGATAATCGGATTTTTTAAGTGATGCGCTTTTATATTTATTGCAATTTTTTTCAACTATTTAAGTGATATTAACCAGTTCATTACTAGCCCATAGAAGAGGAATTTTAGCCTGTTTATAGGAATTGTATAGTGCAAATATGTACATATAAAAAATACTATAAACTCAATTAGTAGCATAAATACAATAAATAATCATAATAAAATAATTGAAAATTTATTGTGAAAGCTGTTGTATATTTTTTATTGTCCATTTTTTTAGTTCTAATTTAACAAATTTTTAATTATCATATAAAACTTGCAGTTCTTCGACTAATCTATTTAATATTTTAATAGCAATAATACAACTACTGTTGTTATACATCGTTTTGTTAATTTTAAGAATCTCAATACTTTTGATTTTTCTTTTGCCATTTGAGTTATTATATTTTGCACTTAGTTTCTCATAATGATAATGTAATAATCCAAGTTATACTAATTATTTTCAGAAATTTGTTTTCTAAGTTTTGAAATGGATATAAAATAGTTATTTCAGCACCTTCCCATATCTGGACTCCGTAATTTATAATCCACAAAAATATACTTAGCACATTAGTAGCAATTCACATCGATTGTGCTGGACCTGTGGCTGGTTTTATTTTATTGATTGTCGTCGATGCTTGCAGTACAAAAGTTAAAATCACTAACTCAACGACAACCTCTCAACAAGCTCTATTATAATAGTACTTCTTGACAAGTTGTTTTCTACTTATAGTGTTCCGTTAATAATAGTTTGATATAACTACCCACGATAGTTCATTCACGAAGAGTTGAAACATATTTTGATGTCAAGAGAAGTGTAATATCATAAATTGATTGTGCTCCCTATCATTTTTCAACAAACTATGCACTAAAGAAAATAAAAGTTCATTACGACATGGATTGAAAGTTTGTCTTAACAACTCTGGAAAACACCAGATACTACCTCTAGTTAAGCGACATCTTAATTATTTCTCTGTCGAATTATACAAGCACCTCTTGATCTTGTCTGACTAGATTCAACGTAGTTAAAAGTCGCTGTCAAGAAACAGAAAAATAATTCGAAAATGTATACGTTTACAAAAATGTATTTTATCTTTGAAAATTTGCGAATGAGTAATTGGATGCCGGGTGTCATGATCGCCTGATTTAAAGATTTACATTGAAAAGTCGTTCATCTAGAAAAAGTTTACAAGCGGCATGCAGATCAAATAATTTCGTACCAACCAAAGGAAGGCTCTCAAAAAACTGAAGATAGTTCAAGGTTGCAAATTTTTAGAAAAAACTAATAAACACAACAAAAGTCGGCGTCATATTCATTTTTACGGCGAAGAAACAAATTTAAGATTTAGTTTGAATACATCGTGGTTACCCAGTCATCGGAACCATTTCCTTTGATACTAGAAATTTAAGTTCAATCTTCAATATCAAGTAGCATAAAACATCAGGATATTTCAATTCAAATTCAATTACATTTACCAGACGTTTTTTTACACCTCCATCTTAGCCGACTACTTCCACTAATAGCAAGACATCTTTTCAAAATAAGCAAGTTCCGGTAATTTTTCCATAGGATTAACGCTCAACGAAAATAAAAAAGCCAATAACGTTGTTCAAATTTTTATAGATATGGGAGAAAACGATGATTATGTTACAGTTTAATTTCTATTTTTCATTTGTTCACACCAATTTCATACTTTTGATTGATTGATTATTTCTCTTATTTTTCTGGTATCTTGTTTTTAGTCTTTCATAGATTGTACTATAATAAACACGTAATTAAAGTTTTTTTGTATAAGAATTTATTTTGTTCATTTCAATTAAAATAAGTTGCACACATGAAAGGTAACAAGTTTATATCCGTAAAATTGTGCATATTAACGATAAATAAATGTCAAATTGAAAAAGAATTATAAAAGCTTTCCTCTTTAGTTGATCGCAACATAATGTTCATATATTTATTTGTCTGTCAAGCTAAATAATTGAAAGAAAAATCTTGAGAATAAGTTCTCAAATAACGAGGACATATTGTTGACACAACATGTAATCACAATAAAACAAATAAATTTCGAAGAAAAATATGACTTTCAAAAAATTTTCTATCTAGTTAATCATCACGAAAGATGTTTCCCAACAATAAATTACTAAATCGAATGAGTAGAAAACAATGATAAATCAGTACATCGAAAAAAGAGGAGGTTGGAAAAAGGTTATACTGATAATCAAAATATTTTTTTTACAACAAAAAAAAACCTTAACAAACAGTTTCGAATTAGACTAAAAATATCCGAGTAAGATATACTTTTTTTAGAAGTATGAACACGTTTAACATGATACTGTATTTTTGCGTATACCGAATCAAGGTTACGAAAGGAACCAAAGTCAAAATAATAGATACGATATTTCATTCTCGACTATTTGTTAAGCTTTTTTGAGGAGACAGATAATCTTACTTTAGATTCCTCGCGATACATTTGGGAGGGACTTATCGGTTATAAAAATGACAAATAAGCAAGGTAAGTAACAATAACGTAAAACTGAAGAAGTTAACATGGAGTGAAATTGATGTCTAATTTGTTATAAAATTTTAATTTTTCAAGACAATTGAAAAGTGTGTAAATCAAAATATTTTAATCTTAAATTTTACTTTTGCATTTTTTAGTAAAGCTTACTCTAGCGTATTATTATACCTCTTCAACTTCAAGCTAACAACTGTATATAGTGCATATCGTCTTTGCAACAGATTTAACCTCCCGAGCTTGTAACATAAAGATTATCCATCTTCAAAATACTTAAAAGCAGACAGTTTAGTATTTTGAACTGCTACTTTCTTATTGACACGTCGTTTTACCAAGGAAAAATAGCGGTTTAAAATACAACATTTCAGTTTTAATGCATAAATTATCTTACTCTTATATTTTTAGTCAAATTCGAAATTTATTCAATTTCAATTAATAATTTTATGAAGTTTCAGTTATGATTCCAATAAATATTGAAAATAGTTAGATGACAACAATTTATATTCAAAGACATACACTAGTTAAAAATCATTTCATGGATATAATGTTATACAAATAGTTGATTGACTTGCAATTTCTTATTAAAATGCAGCTAAATACATTATACTAATTATAAGAAACCGATATAGAAAAAAGAAAAAAAGATCGTATAAAGGTGGAAGAAATCAGAAAAGTTCAGAAGCAAATTATAACTTGGAGTGAAGACATTTTTAAAAAAGA